TTAACCTGGCTTACACATAACACACTAACACATTTCTAATATTCAAATCCGTTAAAGGATTTTTAGGCTTCATTAATTAGGACAACCAGAAGCGGGAACTCTTCCCATAACACCCGATGTACTTAGGGTTGGGTATCAATTGGGTTTTTTACGATACCGGTGCCAAATCGATACTTTTAAAACGGTACCAGTGCCTAAACGGTGCAAATGAGGACCTTGTCTCCTAGACGGCCACCGGGACAAGACCACAGGAACCAGTTGAGTCCTCTGCACAATGTGACATTGCTGCAGCCTGGAATTGAACTACTGGTTTCGTCTGGTCAGACTGAGCCTGGTTTCTCCCAAGGTTTTTTTCTCCATTCTGTCACCAATGGAGTTTCGGTTCCTTGCCTCTGTCGCCTCTGGCTTGCTTAGTTGGGGACACTTAAATTCCAGCGATATCGTCGACTTGATTGCACAGACACTATTTAAACTGAACTGAGCTGGATGATGATGACATCACTGAATTCAATGATGAACTGCCTTTAACTGAAAATTGAGTGTTTACTATTATCATTTTGCATTATTGACACACTATTTTTCTAATTAGTGCTGTACAGTTGCTTTGACACAATCTGTATTGTTAAAAGCGCTATATAAATAAAGGTGACTTGACTTGTTTGTCTAGAAACCCTGAACACCCTAGTAAGTCTACAGCTGTAGATCTAGTAAATCGAAACGATTTAATCTGTTTGTCTAGTAGCAACCCTTAACAATCTAGTAAATCTACAGATTTAGATCTAGTAATAAAGAGTGAGTCTGCATGTCTAATAATAACCCAGAACACCCCAGTAAGTGTACAGATTTAGATCTAGTAAATCAGAACGAATAAAGCAGTCTACATCTAGTAAATCTACAGATCTAAATCTATTAAACCAGAACTAGTTGATCTGTTTGTCTAATAATAACCCAGAACACCCTAGTTAGTCTATAGATGTAGATCTAACGTTAATTATTCTGAAACGGTAAATCTGTTTGTCTAGTAACAGAGGTAAATATACAGATCTAGATCTAGTCAAATCAGAACTAGTTAATCTGTTTGTCTAGTAACTAAACCAGAACACCTTTGCAAACACAAAGCTTTCAAACTTAAGGTTTTTTCCCAAATTCCAAGCAAATCTTTGACAAGCCCACATACAAAGTTTGCTCATCGTCTAAGCTAGTAACTAAGTTAGCTCTCACGGCTCACCTGCAGATCTGCGCCCTGCGCGCGGCAGTCCATGTAGTTCTCCCAGGCCTGGGACAGATCAGCCAGGTGTGAGCTGGCCATGTCCCGCTGACCGCCACCGGCTCCGGTTCATCCACAGCAGCGACCGAAGCTCTAAAATCCAGCGGTGAAATCCGAGCTGCGTGAGCGGGAACGGCACATCATTTCATTAGGCGTCCATCCGGATTAACGTTAGGAGATGTGAAGTCCGTTAAAACCGTTACTGCCTACAGAGACGAAATAGAACTTTTGAATTCACGGCTGGCGCGAATTGGGCTCTAGTTCGCATTCAAGTCCGTTTATACCAGTCTGGCTGACAGTTGCTGTCAAGTTACAGTTGCAAAAGCAGACAAATGAAGCATTAATATTAGTACACCGCTTAGCGTTAAATACAAGTTGGGGCTTATATTAGCTTCGGCGTCAACATTAGCCTGAATGAACCAGTCGAAATGCAATTACTACAAAAATTGGTTCGTATTTGCAGACAAGAGACTGGATCTGGATCATTTCACGCAGCGGAAGACGCAGAATCTCCTGCAGCACAGCTTAGGCTAACACTCGTTGATTTAGTTATGTCAACTATGAGGTAGCACGAATGCCAACCAGGCATGTTTAATCATCATATCAGTATTATACATCTGAACGCAAGTTCTGAGGTCTAAAAACAATGACATTTTACGTACCTCGTCTCCGGTCTTCCTTCTAACATGTACACAAGCAATTTAGAAGAAAAAATGACATGCAAAACAGTACAGGAAATAACGCCCACAAAACAGAATCCTAAGCGGCTATTGGTTGAGTAGACTGTCGATCAAATCTGGCCTCTGAGGACGCTCCCTTTCGCCAATCGTTCGGATGACGTCAATCGTGTCCCCCTGTTAGGGCGGGGCTTAGCCGCTTACGTTTTTTGTTCCCGCTGTGGGCGGGGCTGACGTGATGACGCCCCTAAATTAATACTTTATAAATAGTATCAGTATAAACTGTATTTACGGCACACCTCTATTTATAATATTTTGTTGCACATACAAGTCATAATCCTATTTTCTTCTGTAATATTTCTTGTCCAGTTGTTGTATTTATTATTATATATTTTTTCATTGCCTAAAATAATTTTTTTTCATTGCCCCTTTTTTATTTTAGCTATTATTTAAATTTACCTCATACTATAAAACACACATGAACTATCTATAACATAAATGTATAATATTATGAAATGTATTTGTATAAGATAAGATAAAATCTCAAGGTACCCACATTTAATCGTTTCTATTCGTTTAATGCATTACATTTCCAGTTACTATACTAAAATCCACAGAAATCTGCAGAATTTCTCAGTGGCCAGAATACTTAATAACACAACTGGAACATGTTAAAAATTACAATACGGACATACAAACGTTCATAACATAATTAAAGAATGGTACGATTTAATTAATGACCTACAAGGTGAAATAAATACAGTAAGAAAGAATAACTAGACAATTTAATGGTTTGTGCAGGGAGTTTTCACCTGATTTTTAGGCTGCTGCTGCCATCTGCTGGTTACTATTTTCTGTGCACAAGGACTTTTTTTAGTTTTTTGTTTTAATTAAAAAAGAAGCACTGTAACAATATAAAAATGACACGGCTAAATAAACAAAATATGATTTTATTGAAAAGATGTATGTGTAAACATTGATTTATGTCAGGCTATTTCACAATTGTATCATTTCTTTATCTTTTAAAAGAGATACTCTCAGGGTAACACTGTTAGTTTTGCTGAAAATAGTCACGAAACTAAATTCACAATGACCTCATTAGCATTAACTGCTCTTTAAAGCACCATGATCATATTTAAGGCATGGATGCATTTAGAAATCTTTAATACTGAGTTGGTTTTATTACATCTTTCAGACAAGAAGCATTCAGATGGAACTGCCATGTCCTTCATCACCGGAGGTCTGCTCACGTCTCTTTGAATCTTCAGTTCCAGCCTTCTCGCTCCACACAGCCCAGTCCCACAGCGTTATCCGGACACCTGCACGAGCGCCCAGCAGCTGTCGCCAGACATAAGTGAGTACAGCCGCCATTATTGCTCGAGCAGTAGTTCTGACCTGATGGGGAACAGTGAGTATCTCACATTAGCTGCAGTCATGGTACAAACATGTTGTTTTAGCGACTTGAGCCAGTTATTGACACGGTTAGAAGCACTGAGCATTAAAAACTGACATCATTTATGAAGAATTTACAGTGGTGGCCAAAACTGTTAGAACACCCGACAGATTTTTGCCTCCAAAACATGATTTAATTTCATAATGTTCATGCAGATGGTTGCTCTGAGCACAACGAATATCAAGATGAGTCATACTGTTTTTATCCACTTTTAACTTTAATATTTGGTATGTCCACCTTTTGCAGCAATTACAGCAGCACATCTCTCTGGCATAGAGTCAATATATTTCCTGAGAACTTCAACACTGATGTTATCCCATGCCTTCTGCAGCTCAAGCCAAAGGCTTTCCTTTGAATGCACAATAGATCTGTCCAGTTTATTTTCCAACTCGCCCCAAATTTGCTCGATGGGGTTGATCTCTGGACTTTGAGGGGGCCAGTGCATCATTTTCAATGAAATCCACAAAAGCTGTTTTAGAACGTGATGCTTATTTCTGTTAAAAAAAAAAACATATTTGATCATTTTTGTTCAATTAATTTAAATGTATTACATTTCCGGTTATTACAGTAATATCTACAGAAATATATGTATTTTTCAGTGGCAAGAACACCTGATAACACAATTGGTAAATGTAAAATAATAATAAACAATCATAATTATAAGAATAATAACCAATTTTAAAAATGTTATGATGTAATTAATGACCTACACAGTCAAAGAGATAAGAAACAGTAAGAAAATAATAACTAGACAATCTTATGCTTTGTTCGGGGAGTGAAAAAAAACATTTTCATATGATTTTTAGGCTGTTGCTGCTCTCTGGTGGTTATTATTATAAGGACTTTATCACAGTATGAGTCTAAGTAATAACAGAGTTTAAGCACTATAAGAATATATAAAAATGACAAGGCTAAATAAACAAAATATGATTTTATTGAAAAGATGTATGTGTAAACATTGATTTATGTCAGGCTATTTCACAATTGTATCATTTCTTTATCTTTTAAAAGAGATACTCTCAGGGTAACACTGTTAGTTTTGCTGAAAATAGTCACGAAACTAAATTCACAATGACCTCATTAGCATTAACTGCTCTTTAAAGCACCATGATCATATTTAAGGCATGGATGCATTTAGAAATCTTTAATACTGAGTTGGTTTTATTACATCTTTCAGACAAGAAGCATTCAGATGGAACTGCCATGTCCTTCATCACCGGAGGTCTGCTCACGTCTCTTTGAATCTTCAGTTCCAGCCTTCTCGCTCCACACAGCCCAGTCCCACAGCGTTATCCGGACACCTGCACGAGCGCCCAGCAGCTGTCGCCAGACATAAGTGAGTACAGCCGCCATTATTGCTCGAGCAGTAGTTCTGACCTGATGGGGAACAGTGAGTATCTCACATTAGCTGCAGTCATGGTACAAACATGTTGTTTTAGCGACTTGAGCCAGTTATTGACACGGTTAGAAGCACTGAGCATTAAAAACTGACATCATTTATGAAGAATTTACAGTGGTGGCCAAAACTGTTAGAACACCCGACAGATTTTTGCCTCCAAAACATGATTTAATTTCATAATGTTCATGCAGATGGTTGCTCTGAGCACAACGAATATCAAGATGAGTCATACTGTTTTTATCCACTTTTAACTTTAATATTTGGTATGTCCACCTTTTGCAGCAATTACAGCAGCACATCTCTCTGGCATAGAGTCAATATATTTCCTGAGAACTTCAACACTGATGTTATCCCATGCCTTCTGCAGCTCAAGCCAAAGGCTTTCGTTTGAATGCACAATAGATCTGTCCAGTTTATTTTCCAACTCGCCCCAAATTTGCTCGATGGGGTTGATCTCTGGACTTTGAGGGGGCCAGTGCATCATTTTCAATGTTCCAGCAGATTCCTTCCGTCGCAGGTTGTTCCGGCACTAGTTCATTTTAAGGGTATTGTAATGGCCAATTCAACAAAAACAACTGAAACCTCTTAAATATGCCAAGTGTTCTAACAATTTTGGCCACCAGTGTAAGAATAAGAAGTGATTATATGAGAGAGAAATCCTACCAGACGGGCAGTGGGCATGTGCCGTGGTGATCCCGTACAGACGTGTTCGTTTCTGGGGCTGGAACTCATCCACCTCTCGCCTAGCATATCGATCAGCTACGACTACAGCACCCCTGATCAACACAAACACACAAACCGTCAGGAAAACACTGGGTATCTGCCTTTATGATACATATATATGCATGAATAATTAATTGGATTTTTAAATGTTTTGAAATGTCTTCTGCTCATCCACATCTGCATCTATTACAAAATACAGTAAAAACTGTGAAATATTTCTACTATTTAAAATAGCTGTTTTCTATATTGTAAAATATAATTTATTGCTGTGATGCACAGCTGTATTTTCAGCATCATTACTCCAGTCTTCAGTGTCACATGATCTTCAGAAATCATTCTAATATGCTGATTTGCTGCTCAAGAAACATTTATGATTATTATCAATGTTGAAAACAGTTGTGCTGCACAATATTTTTGTGGAAACCGTGATACATCTTATTTTTCAGGATTCTTTGATGAATAGAAAGTTCAAAAGAACAGCATTTATTTGAAACAGAATTTTTTTTAATATATTTCTATTATAAATGTATTTACTGTCACTTTTGATCAAAAGTATGAATTATATTATCATTATTAATTAATAATAGCGTATTGGAATGATCTCTGAAGGATCTTGTGACACTGACTGAAGACTGGAGTAATGATGCTGAAAATTCAGCTTTGATCACAGGAATAAATTACATTGTATAATATATTCACATAAAAAAAGTTATTTTGAAATTTTCATGAAAATTAAGCATATTTTCCTCCCAAATTCCCCCTACTGTAATGCATCCTGTCCTTTTACATGTCAGTTGTTTGTGTACTGTTTATTATTACAAATTGCTATAATAAGCTCCATTGTGACTCTCCACTAACAGAGAGCAAAAGGCTGTAGGAAGATCAGAGAAAGACACAGACGGCCCGTGAAATCACACACAGCTACCACAAGCCTTGAAACAGGCCTCTTGACCCGACCTCTGCACAGCAAACACATTCAGGGTTAAAGTGCCAAATCAGTGCATGCTGCTGCTGAGGGAACCGGCGCTAGCACACAGACACATCAAGGCCTCAGAAGAACAGAGAGCTGTTGAGCTCACAGGTTTAGACTGAACCTTGACCTTGCTTTCCCATCCTAAACCACAACCGAATAACACGAGCAAGACCAGGTGAAATCAGCGGAGTTAAACTGCATTTTCTGGCAGACTGAACCCAGCAGTTGTTATTCCTATTATTCTGTTATAAAACACTACCATTCAAAAATCTGCAGTCAGTATGTTTTTTTTTTTAAAGAAATTAATACTTTTATTCATTAAGAATGCATTAAGTTGATCAAAAGTGACTTACAAAAGATTTCTGTTTTGATTTATAATCATCAGAAATGTTTCTTGAGTAGCAAATCAGCATATTAGAATGATTTCTGAAGATCATGTGACACTGAAGACTTGAGTAATGATGCTGAAAATTCAGCTTTGATCACAGAAATAAATTACAGTTTAACAGATATTCATATAGAAAATATTTCTTTTAAATTGTAATAATATTTCAAATTTTTTACTGGATTTTTGATCAAATAAATGCAGCCTTGGTGAGCAGAAGAGACTTCTTTCAAAACATTTGAAGGGCCTGTCACTCAATAAAAGCGTGATGTTGTTTAAAGGGGTCCTATTATGCTCTTTTACAAAGTCTTGATTTTGTTTTGGGGGTGTACTAGAACAAGCTCTCATACTAGGTTGTATTTTTCACATATTTTACATTATTACAACACCTCTCTCCCCAGTCTGGTATGAACGGCTCGAATAGTTCCTGTATCAAATGAAGGCCCGCCTTCTGAAATACGAAATGTGCTGTGATTGGTTAGCTGGGCCGGTG